GGGAGAGAAACCCTTCAAGTGCAGTGTGTGTGGGAAGGCGTTTGCACAGTCATCTCTCTTGTAGCACACCAGAGAACACACACGGGAAAGAAACCCTTCAAGTGCAGTGTGTGTGGGAAGACGTTTGCAAAGTCATCTACTCTTGTAGCACACCAGAACACACACGGGAGAGAAATCCTTCAAGTGCAGTGTGTGTGGGAAGGCGTTTTCACTTCATCTACTCTTGTAACACCCGAGAACACCACGGGAGAGAAACCCTTCAAGTGCAGTGTGTGGGAAGAGCGTTTACACTTTCATCTACTCTTGTAGCACACCAGAGAACACACACGGAAAGAAACCCTTCAAGTGCAGTGGGTGTGGAAGACGTTGCAAAGTCATCTACTCTTGTAGCACACCAGAGACACACACGGAGAGAAACCCTACAAGTGCAGTGTGTGTGGGACGAGGTTTTGCACTTTCATCTACTCTTGTAAACACAGAGACACACACGGAGAGAAACCCTTCAAGTGCAGTGTGTGTGGGAAGACGTTTGCAAAGTCATCTACTTCTGTAACACACCAGAGAACACACACGGGAGAGAAACCCTTCAAGTGCAGTGTGTGGGAAGGCGTTTTTCAGATTCATCTACTCTTGTAAACACAAGAGAACACACACGGGAGAGAAACCCTTCAAGTGCAGTGTGTGGGAAGGCGTTTTCAAATTCATCTACTCTTGTAAAACACAAGAGAACTCACACGGGAGTGAACCCGTCAAGTGCAGTGTGTGTGGGAGCGTTTGCACAGTCATCTGCTCTTGTAGAACACCAGAGAACACACGGGAGAGAACCCTTCAAGGCAGTGTGTGTGGGATAGCGTTTGCACAGTCAGCACATCTTCATGTACACCAGAGACACACAAGCATCAGAAGATCCACCAGGATGGAGTCTGAAATCAGCTTGGAAAGTCAAAGTTCTGCAATGAGCCCATCCTCATCAAACAAGAACCGGACGACAATCCCAGCTTGGACACTTGAAAGGTATCGAGGTGAAATGTGAAGAGGTGAAGGTGAAATGTGAAGAGTGATGGTGAAGAGCAAAGAAGTGAAGGTAAAATTGAAGATGAAGATTCAACTCCAAATGTGACCTTCACATCGATGGAGGCAACGTGAAGCAGGAGGAGAATTCTGACTGTGAGGCAGAGCGAGGCAACTCCCAGCAGTTTTGGAAGTGGAGGTGTGGGTGGCCTCCGAGACAATACAAAGTCAAATGGAGACCCGGTAAATGTGTAAGCCAGACGATGTCGCTCCAATATGCACCTTTGTCAAGGCCTTTAATGACAAGAATGTGAGTTGAACACTCAGTTCCTAGGTTCAACCTGCAGGGTAAGGGTGGCCAGTCTTTGTTGGACCTGTGTGTTGGGTTGATCTCTGACCAGCAGAGAGCCAATAAGCTCCCAAGCATTCACGATGTTATAATTGCTTTTACATGGTGCTTAATCCGCTCAGCAACTCTGAGTTTTGTATCGTACCTCGTCTCAAACATTCTAAGCACCCCAAGTGGCAGCTGCCCCTGTGTGGCACACGGTGGTGGCCCTGCACCGGCCTGCGTGTGGACAAGAGCCTGTCAGTAGGGGGCGATGGTGATGTGTAATCTCAGTTGTGGAGTTTGTCGGTAATGTTTAGAATTTGCTACATTTTTGACCCAGACGCCAACTTGCAAAGGCCTACTCGTTTGAATTGTACAATTGTGTGTTTCACATCCACTGTTCAGTAGAGGGTGCATTCTTTAAATAGCTCCTTGTTAAAGATGTTTCTAAACTAAATTATTCAATTTTGGAAGAACGTAATCAACCAGGTAGGGTGTGACTTGTGTTGGCTGACTCTTGTGTTGTGTTGCATTATATTTCTAAGTTCACTGTTTGTTTTCTAATTCACTTGTTGTACCTGACGATGGTTGCTTGTGTTCCAATCGAAACGTCGTATTCTATAAATTTCGTTCTACGGACTTTACTGAAAGAACCAGAGAATAAGATTTATCTGATGCAGTATATTTCACTGCAGTTATTCAATTTTGTGCATATGCCTGTCAATAATTTAGAATGAATACTTGTCTGATTGTGTGCGTACATGTAACACACTGTATGTACACAATGCACACACAGTGTACACACACAGTGTACACACACTGTACACACACACAGTGTACACACACACACAGTGTACACACACGCACAGTGCACACACAGTGTACACACACGCACAGTGTACACACACGCAGTGTACACACACCCACAGTGTACACACACACTGTGTACACACACAGTATACACACACACAGTGTACACACACACACAGTGTACACACACAGTCTACACACAGTGTACACACACACACAGTGTACACACACACACACAGTGTACACACACCCGGGGTCTCTGTTCAAGAGATGGAGCAATGGAAAATGGATCTAAATCAACTTAAACTCCAACCCCGCTCTGTGACGTCACCACTCAGCATTACGTCATCCGCGTGAAACGCCAGGGAGGTGTACCTCGCTAGTGACGTCATGTCACCAAGGATGTCACCCCCCTCCCCCCCGTCCACCGCGCTCTTGAACGTGACGTCACCTCCGCCTCGGTCACTGCAGAGATCGTTCCAGTTGCCAATCCTTATTTGGGCAAAGCCACGCCCAGTGACTGGCGGCTCATTAACATAAAGAGTTCGTTAAAGACGTCACGAGTTTATTGCGACGGTCTCATTAACATAATTTATTCATATTCGCATTTAGTTACAGAGCCGCTCGTTGTGGGAGGGCGTGTCTCGTACCCAGGAGTGACGTCATGTCACCTACTACCGCGTGACGTCACGGGTAACAGGAAGCTGTCGCTCCGCGCGTGCAGTGAAATCCGAGGTGAGAAATTCTCATCGTCGTGGTGGTTGTTGTGGTTGTTGTTGTTGTTGTGGTTGTTGTGTTGTTACAAGGTAGAGCCTCGCTCTCTCTCTCGTAGGGATGTCACTAGAGCAGCAGCAGCTTGTGAATCGATGTCCAAGTTGGAACTTTACAACGCGGGGCCTAGACACGCGGGGCCTTGCTCCTGCCCTCGCCTGGTCGCGTTTGCTTTAATTCCCTCCCTTAAGTTTAATTTGTCTTCACGCGGCTCGCTACTTTGTCACTTTGGTTTATTGTAGATATTAACGCAGTTTTTTTGTTTGTTTTTTTACCAGTCCAAGCCCGCTTGAGCTGCTGTACCGCTCTTGTTTACAGAAGCTACCTGCCCACAACAACAACAAGGTATGGGGGGTTTGTGAACGCGTGTGTCAATGTTTTGACTTAAAACTTTAGTAACTGCAGCAATTCATATTCTTGGTTCTTTCGGTGAAGTCACGGACATAGGAAATTTAGTAAAAATAACAGATAAAAATTACTAAAAGTAAACAATTGTAAATAAATAAATAAAACCCCACGACGTTTCGATCGCAACACAAATGGCCTTTATTTGATTTTATTATCTGTTGTTATTGTCTATCTACGTGACTTTACCGAAAGAACCAAGAATACGTGTGGAAATGTGTATCGGTCAAAGACGCTGCACGCGTGCTGATGTTGACTCTAAATGTGGAGGGGAAACCCGGGAGATTCGGAGGAAAATCCACGCGACCACGGAGAGAGAGACACGCAAACCCCAAATATACAGCAGCAGGCGTCAGGGTCGGGATCGAACCCACGACTTCCTGTATACCAGGCGAGGTAGTTAACATCTCACCACGGAGAGAGAGAGACACGCAAAACTCCAAATATACAGCAGCAGCAGGCGTCAGGGTCGGGATCGAACCCACGACTTCCTGTATACCAGGCGAGGTAGTTAACATCTCACCACGGAGAGAGAGAGAGACACGCAAACTCCAAATATACAGCAGCAGGCGTCAGGGTCGGGATCGAACCCACGACTTCCTGTATACCAGGTGAGGTAGTTAACATCTCACCACGGAGAGAGAGACACGCAAACCCCAAATATACAGCAGCAGGCGTCAGGGTCGGGATCGAACCCACGACTTCCTGTATACCAGGCGAGGTAGTTAACATCTCACCACGGAGAGAGAGACACGCAAACTCCAAATATACAGCAGCAGCAGGCGTCAGGGTCGGGATCGAACCCACGACTTCCTGTACACCAGGCGAGGTAGTTAACATCTCACCACGGAGAGAGAGAGAGAGACACGCAAACTCCAAATATACAGCAGCAGGCGTCAGGGTCAGGATCGAACCCACGACTTCCTGTATACCAGGTGAGGTAGTTAACATCTCACCACGGAGATACGAGGGCTTCCAGGCATATTTATGACCATTTGCCCTCTCATTGTGTGCAATAACAGCCTGTGTGATGAATTTGGGAAACTTTTTCACTACATCATGAATATGAATAAGTATAGACGTGTAAGTCACGTGTGACTGTGTATATGCATTACTCTGTGTCTGACGTGTAGGTGGTGTGGATATAATTTTTTTCTGTCTGCAGCTGTCGCTTGGTCTGATGGAGCAAAGGCGCTCAGCACAGCTCGGTACGGCAAGGCAACAATGCGACCAGCGTGGATACAGCACGGAGCGGACTGGAAATTTGACACAGCACCAGAGAACACACACAGGAGAGAAACCCTTCAAGTGCAGTGTGTGTGGGAAGGCATTTTCATGGCCATCAGTTCTTCAGATCCACCAGAGAACACACACAGGAGAGAAACCCTTCAAGTGCAGTGTGTGTGGGAAGGCGTTTTCACGGTCATTTGCTATTAAAACACACAAGAGAACACACACGGGAGAGAAACCCTTCAAGTGCAGTGTGTGTGGGAAGGCGTTTGCACAATCACCGCATCTTCAAGCACACCAGAGAACCCACACGGGAGAGAAACCCTTCAAGTGCAGTGTGTGTGGGAAGGCATTTTCACTGTCATCTTCTCTTATAAAACACCAGAGAACACACACGGGAGAGAAACCCTTCAAGTGCAGTGTGTGTGGGAAGGCATTTTCACGGTCATCTTCTCTTAAAAAACACCAGAGAACACACACAGGAGAGAAACCCTTCAAGTGCACTGTGTGTGGGAAGGCATTTACACAGTCATCAAATCTTAAAAAACACCAGAGACAACACACAGGAGAGAAACCCTTCAAGTGCAGTGTGTGTGGGAAGGCATTTTCACGGTCATCTTCTCTTATAAAACACCAGAGAACACACACGGGAGAGAAACCCTTTAAGTGCAGTGTGTGTGGGAAGGCGTTTTCACGGTCATTTGCTATTAAAACACACCAGAGAACACACACGGGAGAGAAACCCTTCAAGTGCAGTGTCTGTGGGAAGGCGTTTGCACAGTCATCTGCTCTTGTAAAACACCAGAGAACACACACGGGAGAGAAACCCTTCAGGTGCACTCCGTGCGGGAAGGCGTTTGCACAGTCATCAAATCTTCATGTACATCAGAGAACACACAAGCATCACAAGATCCACCAGGAGTGGAGTCTGAAAGCTTGTGAAAGTCAAAGTGCTGCAATGAGCCCATCCCTCATCAAACAAGAACCAGAAGAAAATCCCAGCTTGGACACTTTTAAAGGTAACGAGGTGAAATATGAAGAGGTGAAGGTGGAATATGAAGAAGTGATGGTGAAGAGTGAAGAAGTGAAGGTAAAATGTGAAAAGTGATGGTGAAGAGTGAAGAAGTGAAGGTAAAATGTGAAGATGAAGGTTCAACTCCAAAATGGGACCTTCACATCGATGGCAACGTGAAGCAGGAGGAGAATTCTGACTGTGAGGCAGAGCGAGGCAACTCCCAGCAGCAGTTTGTGGAAGTGGAGCTGTGTGGACTTCCTCTGAGACAATACAAAGTCAAATGGAGACCCGGGAAATGTGTAAGCCATGACGATGCCGCTCCAATAGATGCACCTTTGTCACAGGCCTTTAATGACAAGAATGTGAAGTTGAACACTCAGTTCCTAGGTTCAACCTGCAGGGTAAGGGTGGCCAGTCTTTGTGGACCTGTGTGTTGGGTAGATCTCTAACCAGCAGTGAGAGCCAATAAGCTCCCAAGCATTCACGATGTTATAATTGCTTTCACATGGTGCTTACTTAATCCGCTCAGCAACTCTGAGTTTTGCATCGTATCTTGTCTCAAACACTCGAAACATCCCCAAGTGGCAGCTGCCCCTGTGTGGCACAAGGTGGTGGCCCTGCACCGGCCTGCGTGTGGACAAGATCTGTCAGTGGGGGGCGATGGTTGATCTGTCATCTCAGTTGTGGAGTTTGTAGGTAATGTTTAGAATTTGCTACATTTTTGACCCAGACGCCAACATGCAAAGGCCTACTCGTTTTGAATTGCACAATTGTGTGTTTCACATCCACTGTTCAGTAGAGGGTGCATTCTTGAAATAGCTCCTTGTTAATAAGATGTTATCTAAACTAAATTATTCAATTTTGGAAGAACGTAATCCACCAGGTAGGGTGTTGACTTGTGTTGGCTGACTCTGTGTTGTGTTGCATTATATTTCTAAGTTCACTATGTTTGTTTTCTCATTCACTTGTACCTGACGATGGTTGCTGTGTTCCAATCGAAACGTCGTTTTCTATTAAATTTCGTTCTACATGAGTTTACTGAAAAAACCAGAGAATAAGATGTTATCTGATGCAGTATATTTCACTGCACTAATTCAATTTTGTGCATATGCCTGTCAATAATTTAGAATGAATACTTGTCTGATTGTGTGCGTACATGTAACACACACTGTACGTACACAGAGTGTACACACACACAGTGTACACACACAGTGTACACACACACACTGCGCACACACAATAATGTCCACGTTGTAGTTGCTGAGCTCACACACCCAAGGGGTCTCTGTTCAAGAGATGGAGCAATGAAAATGGATCTAAATCAACTTAAACTCCAACCCCGCTCTGTGACGTCACCACTCAGCATTACGTCATCCGCGTGAAACACCAGGGGAGGTGTACCTCGCTAGTGACGTCATGTCGCCAAGGATGTCACCCCCGTCCCCCGCGCTCTTGAACGTGACGTCACCTCCGCCTCGGTCACTGCAGACATCGTTCCAGTTGCCAATCCTTATTTGGGCAAAGCCACGACCAGTGACTGGCGGCTCATTAACATAAAGAGTTCGTTAAAGACGTCACCAGTATATTGCGACGGTCTCATTAACATAATTTATTCATACGTACCCAGGAAGTGACGTCATGTCACCTACTACCGCGTGACGTCACGAGGTGACAAGAAGCTGTCGCTCCGCGCGTGCAGTGAAATACGAGGTGAGAAATTCTCATCGTGGTTGTTGTTGTTGTTGGTTGTTGTTGTGGTTGTTGTTGTTGTTTTACCAAGGTAGAGCCTCGCTCTCTCTCTCGTAGGGATGCCAATAGAGCAGCAGCAGCAGCTTGTGAATCGATGTCCAAGTTGGAACTTTACAACGCGGGCCTAGACACGCGGGGCCTTGCCTCCTGCCCTCGCCTGGTCGCGTTTGCTTTAATTCCCTCCCTTAAGTTTAATTTGTCTTCACGCGGCTCGCTACTTTGTCACTTTGGTTTATTGTAGATATTAACGCAGTTTTTTTTTCGCTTTTTTACCAGCCCAAGCCCGCTTGAGCTGCTGTACCGCTCTTGTTTACAGAAGCTACCTGCCCACAACAACAACAAGGTGGGTTTTGTCAACGTGTGTCTCGGTGTTTTGACTTAAAACTTTCGTGACTGCAGCAATTCATATTCTTGGTTATTTCGGTAAAGTCACGGAGATTAAAAGAATAACAGATAATAATGTTAAATAAATAAAAAAAATGCAATAAAGAATAAACCCACGACGTTTCGATCGCAACACAAGTGGTGTTTTTTTAATTTAATTTCATGATCTGTTATTTTTATTTCCTATCTACGTGACTTTACCGAAAGAACCAAGACTCCGTGTGTCAATGTCTGTCTGTCAAAGACGCTGAATGTGGAGGGAAAAACCGGGCAGTGTGTGACAGTGTAAAGTATATTAACTCTGATGAACACGGAGGTTGTAACAAAACAATAGTTTATTTTAGTTTTCCTCTGGAACTCTTTATAAGAGTCGAAGCAGGAAGTTAGCACAGCACACACACGTGCAGCAGCTGACGTCAGATCTGTTCATCCCATCATTCAAGGACATCTGAGCCTGGCTTCATACCTCTAAGTTGCCACTGAACAACATTCCTGCTGCTGCGGAGGGAGCTGGTAGGAACGTCGGGTTGCTCGCTCAATGGCCTGCAGGGTCAACGGCGGCTGGTGTATTCCGCAAATATGCCGACTGTGAGGGCGGGCACAAGCCGGCGTGAGTAGGTGAAACGTTGAGTTTTATAAGGGCACCACGGGGTGACCAGCCCCTCCCCACCCAGCCCCACCCTCCCCACCCAGCCCCTCCCCACCCAGCCCCACCCCTCCCACCCCCCACCCAGCCCCACCCTCCCCACCCACCCCAGCCCCTCCCCACCCTCCCCTCCCCACCCAGCCCCTCCCTCCCCACCCAGCCCCTCCCTGCACGACGGACGGACGGACACAATAATCCCCTGTGGGCTGGTGTAACTAGGAGGTTCCTACCAGTGACAATGTTGCCAATTGCTTCGTTTTTATTTGGCGAGTCCTGTTCTCTCCCGTGACGAGGTGGATCCGCACGACGATGTGTGTGAAGTGACTGTCATCGACAACATGTGTGTGAAGTGACTGTCATCGACTATACGATGGTGTGTGAAGTGACTGTCATCGACAACACGATGTGTGTGTGAAGTGACTGTCATCGACTATACGATGTGTGTGTAAAGTGACTGTCATCGACAACACGATGTGTGTGTGAAGTGACTGTCATCGACAACACGATGTGTGTGTGAAGTGACTGTCATCGACAACACGACGATGAGGTTTCGACGTGTATCCCACCGGCGAGGGTGGCGAATGGTGTCGTGGCTCTGGGGGCGGAGGGGCGTGAGATGTGGCTCACATTTCCTGAATGACTTGGTCAAGGTGCCACGTGCACTTGCATCTCACAGCGCGATTTGGGCAATTAGAACACACAACGGAATTGATTACACCTGCTTGCTTCATCAATTAAAGCCCATCGAGAATCAATTATTCTAAATGTGTTTGTGTGCATCGATTAGGGGCCGTCATTAAATGACGTCACGCACCTGGCGTGACGTCATTTATGGACGGCCCCTTAACTACTTTTCATAGAGGATTTCACCACGGCCGCAGCCGTGTGTGTGTAGGTGAGTGTCTGTGTGTGTGTAGGTGTGTGTCACTGTGTGTGTGGTTAGTGTCTGTGTGTGTAGGTGAGTGTCTGTGTGTGTGTAGGTGTGTGTCACTGTGTGTGTGGTGAGTGTCTGTGTGTGTAGGTGAGTGTCTGTGTGTGTGTAGGTGAGTGTCTGTATGTGTAGGTGAGTGTCTGTGTGTGTGTAGGTGTGTGTCACTGTGTGTGTAGGTGTGTGTCACTGTGTGTGTAGGTGAGTGTCTGTGTGTAGGTGAGTGTCTGTGTGTAGGTGTGAGATGCCCCTGTAGTTGTTACAGACTGTAACAACTACAGGGGCATCTCACTCCTCAGTGTGCCGGGTAAGGTCCTGGCAAGGATTATTCAACATCGCCTTGCTAGGCACGCTGAGGAGGGGCTTGCGGAGCCCCAATGCGGTTTCAGGAAAGGGCGGTCCTGCACAGATGCCATATTTTCTGTCCGTCTGCTACAGCAGAGGTGTAGGGAATTCCAAAAAGACCTACATCTCTGCTTTATTGACCTGGTCAAGGCCTATGATACCATCAGTAGGACTGGACTCTGGGTTATTCTTCGTGCTTTCGGAGTCCCTGACCCTCTGCTCACGATCATTAAGGACCTTCATGATGGTGAGCGGGCCCGGGTAAAACTACGCGGCCGGGAGTCGGAGCCTTTCCCTGTACACCTTGGGGTGCGACAGGGATGTCCTCTGGCTCCCACATTATTTAACATCTATTTTGACCGCGTAGTTCGTGAAGCCTTCAATAGCTGTACCGGGGGAATTTCCGTTTGGTACAGATATAATGGAGGCTGATCGACGCCCGGGTGCGATCAAGGGATGGCTCCCTATTGGTCAACCACGTTATGTATGCCGATGATTTGGTAATAGCTGCTCATTCAGAAGAGGAGTTGGAGGCGCTGCTGCTGAGACTGGAGCGTGCCACTAAGAGGTGGGGCCTTACCATCAGCCCCACCAAAACCAAGCACCTGCCTGGGTATTTTGTACCATCGGACACTCCACCCCACAACTCCCAATTGGTGATGGGGCAGTTGT